CAATTGTTAGCAATTAGGTCCTAATGGGTATTATATGCCCCTCAGTATTGATCACATACTTGTCCAACAGTTGACTAACAATCTGTTTGTCGTCACAAAACAATAGATATAAATATTTAAGAGTCTCCGCAAACCAAAACGACTCCATCATGTCTTTGGGCCGAACGTTATCGGGATTTCTCACGTCATCTATGGAGGTATAGCCGCCGGACTTCACTCTCGTGTACTTATTAAACGCTTGGAATATCTATAACACAAAAAATAATACATTAACTAAGCACAGCACCGGTGTATAGGTGTGTGTGTATGTGTGGACGCCTACCTGCCAGCCCCACGTCCTATATATGGGTTTACCGGTGATATGATATAAATAAAACAACGACTCGACAAACTCCGGACGGAGCAGATTGTGAGCGTCGGCGGGTCTGATCTGGAACTCGTCCTCATTGCCCGTCTCGTCGAAGTACGCGATTTCGGGCGACAGACCAGTCTTTGTCAGGTTATACATGTAATTGCAAGTTCGGGCCAACTTCTCGGCCAACACCAGGTGCTCGTTGAACGGCGAGTCCTCGGCCACTGAATGGCCGTGTATTTTGGGCCCTCTCACCACCTCGTGATAGTACCCGAGAGCCAGCGTTCCCGACAGGAAACACACCAAATGATCCATTTTTGGATGGATATCGTTATAGCTGTTTGAGCGCAACATTTCGCCTATAAATGTCAGTTTTAGCGGCCCTTTAGTCGTCCGCACCAGTCGTTTCTGGAGCTCATCCATCGATTTAATGTAATCCTCTTTAAGCCATGGAATACCGGTTTGAATGTATTGTTTGAGCAGATATTCGTAGTACGAGTCGCCGCGAGCGCCCAGCGTTATGGTCCCTCTGCTGAACTGACCTGTATTTTCATCATTAAGTCAATTAGATTATTGTCAAGTGGATTAAAACGGCTAATCCGTACCCGTATATGGATTTATATACATTGGAAGCAAATATTTGCCACTTTTGACGGTCAGGTTATGGATGTGTTGTGANATCGGTGACAATGTATGGCCACATCCGCAGACATTCCTCACCAACGAGTCATTCTTCGCCATAAATCCCAAATCATTTAACTTCGTGTCCATAATCAGCAAAAAGTGCGATCTATTGGACAAAGCGATCGCCCGATACAAGAGACTGCTCTTCATTGAGGACTGTTCTCTACTGAAGACATCGCTGGCAAAGAGCGATACCAGAGCTCGACAGACACTATACGACAATCGGCGGGATTTAAGCAAAGATCCCAATTTCAAGGGCTTTCTCACAAACATAACAGTCCTCGTGAGCCAAGAGTGCGAAACTGAACCGCATCTGGAGATGAATGAAAACTATTCAATCGATATCAACAATCAGACGGCTCTCATATACAGCGAGAGTGTTTGGGGCGCTATCCGTGCCTTTGAGACCCTCTCACAACTCGTCGAAAACGTTGGACTCAACCAATTCATCGTAAACTACACGTCAATCACGGATTCGCCGCGTTTTAAATACCGCGGACTCCTTCTGGACACGTCTCGCCATTACCTTCCCGTTGAACGCCTGGAGCAGAGTCTGGACGCCATGGCTTACAATAAGCTCAATGTGTTTCACTGGCATATGACGGACGACCAGTCCTTCCCATACGTAAGCCAAGCCTATCCGGAGCTGAGTCTGAAGGGCGCCTATAATCCCAAAACACACGTCTATACCAAAGAAAACATTCAACACATCATAGAATACGCGGCCGAAAGAGGGATCAGAGTTGTGGTGGAGTTCGATACGCCCGGCCATACGCTGGCCTGGGGTGCGGGACAGCCCGGCCTATTGACACCGTGCTATGCAAACGGCAAACCCAACGGACTCTACGGACCAATAGATCCGTCCAAACGATCCACATATGAGTTCATCGAAACCCTATTGAAAGAGGTGTTGAGCCGATTCCCGGATCAATACTTTCATTTGGGCGGCGATGAAGTGGATTACAACTGTTGGCGCTCTAACCCAGACATCAACGACTTCATCAAACAGAAGAATATCATCAAAAAGACCACTTCCATGTCCAACAAGAAGTCCAACGAACCGTACGCTAAACTCGAGGAATATTATGTACTCAAAGTGGTTGATATCGTGAAGAAACTGAACCGCACTTCAATCGTATGGCAGGAAGTGTTTGACAATAACGCCAAACTGTCCAACGAAACGGTGGTTCACGTGTGGAAGTTAGACAACTGGCCACTAGAGCTGTCCAACGTTACCAAAGCCGGCTATCAGGCGATACTGTCTTCGTGTTGGTATTTGAATAAGATATCGTACGGAACCGATTGGCACAAGTACTACACGTGCGAACCCTTGAACTTTAAGGCCACTGAACAACAATATAGTTTAGTCATCGGAGGCGAGGCTACCATTTGGGGTATAATATATATAATTAGTAATTATTCTTGGGAACTATTCAGGTGATAAAATATATCTATAATCTTGCTGTAGGTGAATGGGTGGACGCGTCCAACGTAATTGGGCGAACATGGTTAGCTACAATTATTTGCCCTGGTTGTTTCTAGTAAACTGGTTTATTAATGTATTAATTTCTTAGGCCTCGAGCGCTAGCAGTGGCCGAACGGCTGTGGAGTTCGCGGGATCTGAAGAGCCCAATGGCAGCCAATAGACGATTTGATAGACAACGTTGTCTTATGTAAAGACCGATTGACATCACTATCGCTATAATAATCACTAATTGATTAATTCATTTTGTATTCAAAGGCAAACTCGAGGTCTTCGTGTGGAACCATCTAATGGAGTGGGTTATTGTCAGTGCGATTATCTTGTCTAATAAAATTACATTTAATTTATTTAATTAAAAGTTTTTCAAACTTAAAACAAGAATCTATTTTAAACAATAAAATATTTAATATAAAGTGAAGTGTTATTGAATTGAACTAGGAAATTGTAAAAATATAGTTAAGATATATTTGAGTGGCATATATTGGCTACGGGTTGTGTCTGCCGGTGCTTTGGCCACGAGAAGTGCTTTAATAGACATGGTAAGAATAACAACCTAGGTTGAAGCTATAGCGTTGTTAAATAACAGTATACTTATACTTAAAACAAAATTAAAAAGGGCGTTTCTTTGGTGTTATATTTATGTTTGCAATTAAAACACTAGTCATTATTATTTCGATATAATGTTTGAATAATTAAATTCATAATTAAATTCAAAATCAATTTAAACCAAACGTTTCAATACAAGGGGTTTGACTGTAGGCTAAGCCCAAGCCTTAAATCCCATATTAAACATACGCTCAATACTCGCGCAGTTATGCGCTGTTTGGGGCCCAACGCTAAGCGTATACATAGTGTAGACGTGTATTAATGAATGTCTGAGAGGAGAGAGTGTTATCTCAAAAATGACAACAAAATGTGAAATTTTTAGTGCAATTTATTTTACAGTTTATTAATTGTTTTGTTTTTAACCACAATTGAGACCAAACTCTTCGGCAAACATACCATCGCTGACCGGACATGCATTTGGATGTGGAAAGCGGTCAACAGCTGATCCATAGTCGGCGCCAGTCGTCCCAATCGGTTACAGTATGTCTGCGACGGGTAATCAATCACTTTTGCTGTTCAATATGTTACCACACTTTTATACCTCTGGATCTAATGATGTGATTATATCTCTTTGTCTCCTCAGAAATGGAAAGGCATACCACGAATGGTGCGGCTATGGCTGATGATAGGTCTGGCGGTCACCGTATTCTTGATACTACTGTTATCTCTACCCAAAGAAGAGCCGTTAGTATCCGCTGCCGACGACACGGATCCGGTCGTCAGACCTCCGCCTCAATCGCAGCCGAGAACTGACGGCCAGATTGCGGACAATAATAATAATAATAAACCAAACAATCAAATCAATAGACCAAACATTAACCACAAAACCGATGACAATAATAATAATGATAATGATTACAGAGACAGAGCCAAAGGGTATACGAGTTTCGATCAAACTCTGGCCACAATCGACGGCCTTTCGGTGAATGTATTCAAAGAGTCGATTGAGAGACACGAATCGGCCGAACAGAAGGCCATTGTGGAGGCGTTGCGGCACTCGTGGGACGCGTATCGGGAGTACGCGTGGGGTGCGGACCATCTCAGGCCTATCACCAAATCCAAGCATAACTGGTTTAGCGTTGGGCTAACCATTTTGGNAACAGAAGGCCATTGTGGAGGCGTTGCGGCACTCGTGGGACGCGTATCGGGAGTACGCGTGGGGTGCGGACCATCTCAGGCCTATCACCAAATCCAAGCATAACTGGTTTAGCGTTGGGCTAACCATATTGGACTCGTTGGACACACTTATAATGATGGGTCTCAAAGACGGTCTGACTATTGATTCATTTGCGCAAAGAATCCATTGTTTTGCTAACTTATGATTTGTTTTGAACACAGAATTCAATGACGCTATGAATTGGATTAAAAACGACTTACGCTTTGATATCTATAAGGATGTCAACTGTTTTGAGACGACTATCAGAGCACTGGGTTTGTGGTGTCATATCAATTAACAGATCCGTGAATATCGTTGTCTTTGTATATGTTTAGCGGGACTCCTATCGGGCTATCACTTGTCATCGGAGCCGACGCTACTTATAAGAGCGGCCGATTTGGGCGAACGTCTGATCCATTGTTTTGATACTCCCAAGAATTTGGTGCCTTTCAGTGACGTTAATCTCCAGACAAAGAGCGCAAAGACGCCCAACTGGTCGCCCGACTCTTCACTGTCCGAAGTGTCGACCGTGCAGTTGGAGTTCCGGGACTTATCCTATTTGACCGGAATTAAGAAATACGAGGTCTGAGACCAATCATTGAGTGCTTTTTGAATTGTTTTATACATTTGTTTTAACTTTTTGTTTTCATTGATGTGTTGGTAACGCAGAAATTGTCATTCCGGACGTCACAACACATCCATAACCTGACCGTCAAAAGTGGCAAATATTTACTTCCAATGTATATAAATCCATATACGGGTACGGATTAGCCGTTTTAATCCACTTGACAATAATCTAATTGACTTAATGATGAAAATACAGGTCAGTTCAGCAGAGGGACCATAACGCTGGGCGCTCGCGGCGACTCGTACTACGAATATCTGCTCAAACAATACATTCAAACCGGTATTCCATGGCTTAAAGAGGATTACATTAAATCGATGGATGAGCTCCAGAAACGACTGGTGCGGACGA